GGGGTGCGAGGGCTCTGCCTGGGACGGGTGAGCTGTCGGGGCCCGGCAGGGGCTGCTGCTGGCTCGGTGTGTGCCCAGCGCCGCCGGGCATCCCCAGGAGGTTCATCCCGAAGGCATATAAATCCTGTGTCGATGGGGTAAAGCATGTGCTTTAACTCTGGTGACAAGAACAGGGTCTAGACCCTTTCCAACTTCCAGTTTGCATTGTGGGAGCAGTTAAAAGCTGCGCAAGGGGAGGCATTAGGAAGCATTTCTTTACCGAGAGGGTGATCAAACGATGGAATAGGCTTCCTGGAGAGGTGGTCGATGCCCCAAGCCTGTCAGTGGGCAATGCCCTTAATAATATGCTTTAACTTTTTGTCACCCCTGAATTGGTCAGGCGGTTGGACTACGTGACTCTTGCAGTTCCTTTCAACCGAAATAGGCTCCTCTCCCCACTCCTCCCCTCTCCTCTCTCAGCAGCCTGCTGCTTATTAAGGTGGAGTAACATGGAGCTAGCTGTAATGTGGATGATTGGAAGCCAGTTGTTATTGCTGCTACTGTGGTACTGATGTTAGTCCAGTAGCAGTGTATTCTGTCTACACAGTCACCAGAGCTTTGCTGTCGATCTCTCAGAATTTCAGAAAAAGCAAAAAGAAGGCTGAATGCCTATGTGACTGCTGTTTTGCCATGATGAAGGGATAAGACTTTTTCATTGGTATGTTCTTTTTTTTCTCCCCTTCCTTCTCCCCCTGTTTCATAGAGAATGAAAGTGATCCTCAGGCAAACCAAGCACAGCGCAAGGAAGTATTCACTAAAGAAACAGCTTTAGGATTAAAAGTGACAACAGTAATAACATACAAGGACGTTCAGCCTCCTATTACTCGACTGCTCAGGCATGTGAAATCATTCTTTGATTCCAATGACGGCCCTCCTTCTGAAAATTGAGTGGTCTGGAAGCTCAGAACTTTGTGCTGGAGCTGGCTTCTCTGAGAAGGTGATCCTGGCACCAGACCATCGGTGGAAAACTTTCTGTTGCATTGCTGAAATGACAGCTCCATCTCTGACATAACTTTGCAGAACTTGCAAACCTTCTCATCTGCTCGGATCACTGCTGTTCTTTGCACACGTATTCAAATTACGAAACACAAACCGGGTTGAACTAAGCATGTTGTGAGATGTTAATGAATCTGTGTGCTGCCTGTGTCGGACAGTCTGACTGGGTGGCCATCCATTGCAGCCTTTTTGTGACGTTGATTTCCCAGCTGGTGAGCAGGACGTACCCGGAATGGCTCCTCACCTGATCAGCTCTGAAAAGGTTACTTTAAAAAACATAAGTAAACGTGAAGGAACGTAGTTTAATATTTGAGGTACAGGAGTTGTTAATTGTCCTTCAAATAAAAGCTTACAAGAGTTGAATTGCAAGTGCAGAAATACTACTGTAAGCTGAAAACTCAAGTTTTCTGCTCCCAGTGCTCCACCAGCCCCTCCTTTCTATAGGGGATTCCCTGATCCTTACACATGCTACCTCGCCTTGTAGGGTGCTGCCCCCAGCTGCTGTGGCTGCAACTAACTTTCATTCTATAGGCTTTTTCCTGATCCTTATGGACATCACCTCCTTTCACAGTAAGCTCCTCCTGGCCACTGATTTCTGTAGGTATTTCTCCCAGCTTCTCTTGCTGCTCATCCTATAGGTGCTCCCTGCAGCCACAACTTCCACTTCTAGGTTACCCCCATACCCTGCTTTCTACAGAGGCTTCCTCCAGTCCCTATAGACACTGCCTCCCTTCAGAGGAAGCTGACCCCAGACCTTCCTTTCTATAGCGGCTTACCCCTGCTGGCAGCTGCTTCTATAGGGGCTGTGTGCTGACCCTATAGCCTTTTCTAGGAGGATGCTCCCCCTGCCACAGGTCTCCCCACAGTCGCTGCAGACACCACCTTGATGTATAGAAGGCTGCCTCCAGCCCCTCTTCCCACACCCCCTAGCTTCTATATGGGCTTTTATACCACATGAGCCCCAGCTCATGCACCTACAGACCCGCCTTTCTATATGGTCTCCTCGGGTCCCTACAGCCACGACTTTCTTTTCCAGAAGCCTTCTCCCAGGCACTAATTTCTATGGGAATCCCCCCATTCCCCTATAGCCGTTCCTATAGAGGACGCCACTCTGGTTACCTGCATTTGATCCTTTCTATAGGCGCCTCCCTCCCAAGACCCTATAGGCGCCAACTCCCTTCAGAAGAAGGGAACCCCTCCGCGCGCAAAACATCCGTAGACACCCCCCCTGCCTCTACGCACACCTCCCTTTCCTATAGAGGCCTCCTATAGGGGAAGCCCCTACAGGCATCCCTTCTACCTATGTTATACTACACCCGCTCCGCCCCCTCCATAGCGCCTCTCACGGGGAGGCTGCGCCAGCACCTCCCAGCCGCCAGGGGGCGCTGTGAGCGGGGCGGGCCGGCAGGGAGCGGCTCCCGTTGCCTAGCGCCGGCGCCTTTCCCACTCCCCCCCACCCCAACCGGCGCCGGGCCTGCGCTGCGCGGCCGCGCCACCCTGAAGGCCACGCCTCCCCCTTCCCCCGGCCGGGCCTCCTTTCCCCGCCGCGGCCTCCAGCGGCCCCTCAGCGCCGTCCCCTCCTCGCGTTGCCTCTGCGTGTGGGCAGCGCTGTCCCCCTCCCTTTCTCCCACGGCTGGCGTGCGTGGGTGTCGTCCCCCTGTGTGGGTTTGGCGTGGGGTCGGTTTGCTTTGCTCGTGTGGCCGGCGTGCGGCGGCAGCGCTGGCCCAGTCACCTCCTCGCATTGCTTGCGGGTGTGGGCAGCGCCGTCCCGCTTGCTTTTACCCATGCGTTGTCTCCGTAATCGCAGCTGCCTCCTGGCAGTCGCCTGCTTGCGTGGCTTTGCGTGTGTTGACACTGGGATCGTAGTCGTCTCCTTGCATTGCTTGCTTGCATTGGCAGGGCTGGCCCGATTACAGCCGTGCATCGGCTGCGTATGTTGGCAGTGCATTCGTGATCACCCTGTCCTATGGCTTGGATGTATTGGGCGCTATAATCAGACTGACCTTCTTGCACTGCTGTTGTGTTTTGGCAGTGCTGTCCCAGTTGCCATTAACTATGGCTTGCATGTGTTGCCTATAATGAGAGTCGCCTCCTTGCATTGCTTGCATGGGTTGGCAAGCCAGTTGCGATTGCCTCCTCAAGTGGCTTGCATGCATTCACGCTGGAGTCAGTAATCTTGCATTGCTTGGCAGGGCTGTCATGATTACTGCTGTGATGGTTTTGCATGTGTTTGCAGTGCCATCCCAAGCTGCCACTACAAGCACAGTCACCTTGCATTGCTTGCGTGTGTCGGCAATGCAGTTGTGATCACCTTCTCCTATGGCTTGCATGTGCAGGGCACTATAATCAGAGTTGCTTCTTTGCATTGCTGTCGTGTGTTGGCAGTGAACTTGCAATCGCCGCCTTGCCTAGCTTGCATGTCTTGGCACTACAGTTGCAGTCATCTCCTTGTATTGCCTGTGTGTGTTGTCAATGCCATCCCAGTTGCCTTTGCCCATCGTTTGCATCTGTTGTCTCTATAATGAGACTTGCCTCCTTGCATAGCTTGCATGTGTTGGCACTATAATCGCAGTAATCTCCTTGTGTTGCTTGCTTGTGTTGGCAGGGCTGTCCTGATTACTGTTGCGTATCGCTTTTTGTGTGTCGGTGGAGCCATCCCAGTTGCCTCCTCGTGTGGCTCGCATGTGCTGACAGTATGGTCACAGTTGCCTCTTTGCATTGCTTGTGTGTGTCAGCAGTGCAGTTGCAATCACCTTCTCCCGTGGCTTGAATGCGTCGGCACTATAATCAGAGCTGCCTCCATGTGTTGCTTGTGTGCATTGGCAGTATAGTTGGAATCACCTCCTGGCACGGCTCGCATGTGCTGCCACTACAGTCTCAGTCATCTCCTTGCATTGTTTGTGTGTGTTGGCAGTGCCATCCCGGTTGCCTTCTCCGATGGCTCGCGTGCGTTGGTGCTACAATCGCAGTCGCTTCCTTGCATTGCAAACGTGTCGGCAGTGCAGCCTGGCTCACCTTTTCCCGCTGCTTGCATGTGTTGGCAGTGCTGTCCCAGTCGCCACCATGCACTGCTTGTGTGGGTCAAGGCAGCCAGTAATAGCCCTGGTGCTTGCTTAGCTGCCGGTAGGCATGGTGTGTCCTGACGGTATGGCCCTGCTTTTGCACTGGTTGGACCTTCTGTAAAATCCCCAAGAAGTTTGCGTGTGAGGCAGTAAGTGTGCCTGCTCGGGGACCCAGGGGCAAGGTGGTGTGTAGCAGGACAGCCTGCACATTAAATAAATGGCTTCTGCTCATGTGTGGATGGTCAGTAAGCATTGGAAGAGCATGCCTGTGTATCAGTAAGGAGCACAGCTTTGGTGCACAGCTGGTACTGTGAGTAGAAGAGTGGTTAGACCCTGTCAGCACTAGGATTGTGGCTGACATTGCCACATTTCTGGGTAGAATTTAAACTGTTGTTTCTGGCTGTTAAAGAGTTTGAGAAATCCCTCTGCGAGGGAGATAGTGTTGTGCTTAGCAGGAGGATAGATTTCTGAGCTGGAGGGCTCATACCCAGATCAGATGGAAGGGAAGAGTTTTTTGAGAGGAGTTTTCCCCCTTGATTTGCTTCTGCCCATTGGGAATAGACCAGATCTGGCCACCAGTATGCAGACACAAGCCTTCAGCTTTTGCTGGGGGCCTGCTCTCCGTTTGTTTTACAGGATGTTTGGGGCTTTTTTTCTCAGTTGCATGAGCCTGGGTATAGTTTTAACAGCTGGGCAGCTGGTGCTTATCTCAGTTTTAAGACCTCATTTAAATCTTACTACAGTCATCTCAGGCTCAACCATGTTAAGATAATTTAAATTAAGATGATTTAATTAAATTAAGATAATTTAAAACATTTCTTAGGAAAACACAATAGATCTGCAATGGTTTGTGTTTTATTGTAAATATCATTAAAGAGATTGTGTTCTCAACTAGGAGGGTAGAGTTTGCACATTGTTAAAAGTCTTGTTTCAAAAAATCCATGAGGACTATATCAAGTAGAAATCACCTTTTCACAACTAATGCAAAGTGTGCAGGGAATGGTGGAGTAGAGAAATTCAGTACACTTATTAATACCAGCCAGGTGGATAATTTTTACAAGGATTTGAGAGAGTTCTGCCACCTCTCTGGTTAGCACTGCTGATCCAACTGTAGTAAAAAATCTTTATACATTGTTGTTAAATGCTGGAGTAAGCATCTTGAGCTAGTCCCTCACAAATAAGTCACAACATTGGAAAGACTTTTGAGAGAGAGCATCTATGTGATCTTTAACAAATTTAAGACAGAGAAGAAGGGTTTAGAATGTTTTCTTGGGTGGTTGTATGGTTGCCAGCTGAAGTCAATACTTACTTGTGTCATAAAACGAGACAGTGCATTTAACCTTATTTTTCTTTTTTCCCCCCTTCCCCAGTGGGTGGTGAACAAATAAGTTCAATAGGACGAGGCCTCTGTGTGCTGCTGGGCATTTCTTTGGAAGATACGCAAAGAGAGCTGGAGCACATGTAAGTCACATATTTCGTTTTGCCTTGTACTCTTTTATTTGTGTGTTTCTGACACTGAATCAGTGATACCTGTACAGTAGCCAAACAAATGGGGCAGTCCTGTCGGGAAACTCAGGCTTGCCTGTTAGGTCCTCTTCAGATTTTACCTTGAATACAGGTTTCTTGGTTAGAGTTTTCTTTTTATATTCCATTGAGAAAAACCTGTTTCCATTCCCTGTCTGTGTTTTTTATCAAGAACAGACTCAAAAAGGAAGAATTGACATGTTGGGTTTTTCTGATCGCCCTTTTTTTAAATGTCTGTCCTTTTTACTGTATGAATTTACTCCGAAGAACGTCCTTTAAGGATGAGATGTATCAGAAACCTCAGACTCTCATTTTATCTTGCACATGAGAAGTTTTGTTATTCCAAAAGGCTGGATAGTCTCGTCAGTTACTTTTCTGTAAAAGTAAATGATTTTTGGCAGCCTGGAGGGCTGGCTCTGGCCATCTGTTCCATGGACGCAAAATAATCATGATTCAGCCAGCAAACACATGCAAGGGAGAGTTCTCCAGAGGCTTCTTTTGTCTCCTTCGGTCTCTTCATTGTTCTAGGGCTGACCTCAGTTCTTATGAAGGCAAAGAAGAAACAGGTAATAGAGCTAGCTGATGCCAAGAAAAGGAAAGGCTCAAGTAGTGAAGAGAGAACAATATGAGTGAGGGTGAAAACAACCCTTAGCAGATGCGGAAGAGAAAGTAGAGAGTGGGGATGTGAACTAAAGGTCACCAAAGATCTCACATAAACATGTGAAACTTGTAGAAAATTGCAGCAAAGCTGAAGGTGTTTTTATTATGACGTGCTTCATTGGCTTGCCTTACTGTTTGCCCCCTCAGTGTGTAACATTTCCTCTATTGTTGTTTCTCATTCCTACCTTGGTGAATGTGAAAGGTGCTTTTGAATATTGCAAGTGGGCGATCCATAGCGACTGTGCTCTCAACACCAGGTTGTTTGGATGACTGATGCAGGAAAGGCAGGAAGCCAGCATCTGGAAAAAAGGAACGAAAGAAATCAGCTTAACCAGACTCTTCAGGTCCTATTAAAGGAAATTTTAGTAATCCTGTAGATGAAACAATATCTTTATCATTAAAACACAGCAGTGACTATGATTTAAGCCTATATGTTGGGGCCTTCTGAGACTTTTAACCATCCACTTCATTCAGGAGTCAATTCTGTTTGTCTTTGGCAAGGATGGTTTTTGTGACTGTACCTCAGGAGGGTTGGTTGAGATGACCTTTAAAGGTCCCTTCCAACCCAAAGTATTCCATGATTCTATGATTCTATTCTGTGACTGTAACAAAGTTTCATCTCTATTGTATACTAACTGCCTCACCTCTGGTGCAGCATAAAATGTCTGGCTGATGGCTGCAATTGAAATGCTTTGCACTCGATATGCTCTCTTGTTTATAGATACTGCAGATTTCTAGATGCTAAAAGAAGAAAACAAAGATAGGAGAGTGGCATGCATACAGTCTTGTTATCAATCAAAGTCCAGCCGCAGACTGGGTTGCAAGTCTGCCTGCTGCTCTTCAGGATCCTTTTGTGAAAGTCTCCTTGTCCTTTCTGAGTATCCAAACCAGTCAGTTCTGGCATCTAGATACAAAAATCATCCTTAATACAAATGCAAACAATTTCCAGTCACCACTTTGCTGCTACCTTCAGTTCTGCACTGTTCCCTGCCTTCCTCTTCTCATCTGTGGCCAGCAGGTCGAGGCGGGTGATTCTGCCCCTTTACTCCAGTCTGGTGAGACCCCACGTGGAGTACTGTGTCCAGTTCTGGGGCCCTCGGCACAGGAAAGACTTGTACCTGTTGGACCGAGTCCAAAGGAGGGCCATGAAAATGATCAGAGGGATGGAACACCTCTCCTATGAGGACAGGCTGAGAGAGTTGGGGTTGTTCAACCTGGGGAAGAGAAGGCTCCGAGGAGACCTTCCTGCAGCCTTTCAGTACTGAAAGGGGGCTTATAAGAAAGATGGGGACAGACTTTTTTATTAGGGCCTGTTGCGAAGGGAAAGGGGGCTTATACTAAAAGAGGGTAGATTTAGACTGGATATAAGGAAGAAATTTTTTATGATGAGGGTGGGGAGACACTGAAACAGGTTGCTCAGAGAGGTGGCAGATGCCCAATCCCTGGAAACATTCAAGGTCAGGTTGGATGGGGCTCTGAGCAACCTGACCTAGTTGAAGATGTCCCTGCTCATTGCAGGGCGGGTGGACTAGATGATCTTTGGCGGTCCCGTCTAACCCAAACCATTCTGTGATTCTATGATTCTGTGATACTGATGTACACTGATCACAGTGCTGTCCTCATCTGGCTTGTGGGGCTGGGTTTGGAAAGAGGGCTAGGCAATGACAAAGCTGGAGGAATACATATGAATCATGTTTGGAAACAACCATAGTTTAGGATGATGTCATTTCATACTAAGCGTGATTTCCCATTGCGGTGGGAGGATTAAAATTCCCAAAGCTATTCACATGTTAAATAATGTTGTGACACATAAAATCAGATAGTAAAGGGTAAGCTTTCTTACTTCATATGCCATCTTTATGTCACCCTGTAACTTGCAGTTATTCTGTCCTGTTCTTATGCTCTGTAAAATGATGACGTTAATTAACAGTCTGACAATGTTATGTGTAAGGGCTTTCTTGATTATGGCACTGCCTAATGTGACGAGATTCCAGTGGTTTTGGAATGAAGGGACAAAAGGATACCTTGTTATGTGGAGGCAGAATGAATATTCATCTGCCTTCCCTTTTGTCTCATCCTGTGTGGTAGGCATTAACTTGTACCTGTTGATCCTGCATGGGACAATTTAGGAATTACCTCTTTCTCCTCCTAGGGTTCGGAAGATCTTGAACTTGAGAGTATTTGAAGATGAAAGTGGGAAGCACTGGTCCAAAAGTGTGATGGATAAACAGTATGAAGTGTTGTGTGTGAGCCAATTTACTCTCCAGTGCATCCTGAAAGGAAACAAGCCCGACTACCACATGGCAATGCCCACAGAGCAGGCGGAGTGTTTTTATAACAACTTCCTAGAACAGCTAAGAAAAGCCTACAAACCAGAGCTTATTAAAGGTAAGGGCAAAAGGTCAGTAAGGTCCTTGATGTGACCAGTGGACCTTTTTTGTATATGCTTTACCCTAATTGTTACTTTTTTTTATTCTGTGATTTTCTGTCTGTGTTGCAAAGGAGCTGTCTTTACTTGGCAGTAGACAAGGGGGTGTTATGGTATTTTCACTAGCAACCCGGCAGGGTGATTGGCCCTGTCTTCCTCTAGCCAAGCCATTTCCTGGCATTCCTCTGGAACAGTTTGACATGTAGATGTTCTCGTATTGTTATTGGCTGTGCAATGTGAGCAATGACTCTGACAATGTAACCCAGAGAGGCTGCAGCCATGAGAACAAACTCTGGGGTTGGGCTCCTTCAAAGCCTGGATGTTTTGTCCTGTGTAGCTAGGTTAGTCCAGGAGGAGTATTTTTTGTGTGGCATATGTGGTTAGTCAGACTCGAAGGCGCCGCCAGTGTGTGATGGACAGTGTAGCTCCATCTGTTGCTTTAGTTTTACATTCTGTTAAATGGTAATGATGACAGCGGGAGGTGTATTGTGCTACTTGAGAAAAGTATTTGATTTAGACTACCTTTTCTCAGTTCTGTGCCATGTGTGCGAAGTTTTCTCTTTACCAAAAAATGTCTGGCTTCCCTTTGCATTTGGGCTCTATCCACCCTTATTTTTTTCTGTTTGCTTTTCTGTTTGCTTTGTTGCCCTTTTCGTATTTAGACTTGATTTTTTGATACACTTGCCCAGAAGACAAGTGTCTAGAAAAGACTGTTTTTTAAATGGGTGCTATCAATAGACAGTGGTCAGCCTGAGTTTCCTTATGAAGAAAAAAAGGACAAAAAGACAGAAAACTGGTATCTGGGGAAAAATTTAGAGGCTAATCTCCTTATTGAGTGTAGATGAAGGTAGTTATCCCAGTGCTTTCCAAGGAGGCCCAGTGAAATGCACACATAAAATGTCCATCTTGCGTCAGCTTTCCAGTAGTACTTCCAGTATGTTCTTCCAATCCATATTGGTTGATGATAAGGAATGCATTTCTGATACCCCTTCCCTACATCCCTTTTGATCCATAACATAGAACACTTCTGTTCTAATGTATTTGGAGTATGTGGTTTTTTGAATCTTATGACTAAGTTAGGACACTTTCCTGTGCCTCTGAAACTGGTAACAGAGCTTCTGGGAAGTCAATGGGAATAAGATTTGCGGTGGTAAGATTTGATCAAGTTGGACCCTTATGTCCTGGTAAACTAAACACAAGTATGGACTTTTTTCTGTCACTTAAATGAAAATTTGATATATCTCTGTATATCTACATCTTTATTCTTAGGCTTTGGAAAACACTTTGTTTCTGAAATACTTTTGATCAGTTTATATTTTGACAGCAGGTTTTTGAACTTCTCTTTTCAGTGAGCAACAGTTGTACATCTGAAATGAATAGCCACTGCTGTTCGTAACTTGGCACTTGTTTGCCAATGTTTCCTGCAGAAAAGGCTTAACTTCTGCATTTTGTTTTTTTCATTTGGAAAACAGATATAGAAATCCAAGAGTGGCTGCCTGTGCTATTGTGTCAGATAACACATGCATTTGAAACTGCTGGCAGCACTGGAACCGCCTGTTAATTTATAATTTTGCTTTCTTTTTAGGCTGTGCCAGTCTTTGTTGTGCTGCATCCAAGCCTGTTAGACTCTTATGATTGAAGTTTCTGTTGTGCCAATTGCTTTGCCAGTGGTTTGGTTTTTTTTTTTTGCTTCCTTGTTTTATCTATTTATTTTTGTGCGTGCAAAGTTTCTGAAGCTTGATGGTTTCATGGATAGTAGGCTAAGTCTTGTGGTTGCATCAGTAGAATTTACAATTTCCCTGAGCTGAGGTGGATTAGAAGACAGAACCTTTACACACTGGCAGGCTGTACGTGAGCAGGACTGCTTGAGTGTCAGTATAACTTCGTCAAATTGTAATACCTGGGCTGTGATTTAGTGTCGCATGCGAACGTACTGAATTCTACCCTGGAAAGTCCTAAGGAAATCAGAACCTGACTTGCTGGGGGCTGTCCTATGTTACAAAGCGTGATGGAAGGGCCCTGGGAAGGAGCACTGATGAATGAGCTGCTGGACGATTAAAATAGGCTTAATGTATCAGCATGAGGCTCTACCTTCTATCTTCAAAATCCGTACTCATATATTTCCCCTACAGATACACATACACACACACACAATGGTAATTACTGGGAGATGAGAGTTGATTCTCTGGATTGCTGTAGGTGCCCCTCCCTTTGATCTTACAAATTGCTTAATGCATTTTAGAGGAATAATTTAATCATTTAAAGTGGAATTTGTGTAGCTGAGTCAAAGAGATCAATAAATATATTGCCATATTGCCTAAGAGCCTTGTGTTTTCTAGTCTCTGTATTTTTTCAATAGACTAATTTGTCTGTTCAAAGTTGTGCTGCTACTTGTACCACTGTTGTCGGTACTGGGCAGGCAGCTCCTCCATCTGCTATCGGGTCTATCTGGAGCTTGCCAGCTTGGAGCTCAGGATGGTAAGTGTTCCCCAAAGAGAAGCACAAACCATTCTTTCACACCTAGAACATGGGGACATTTGATAAACACGATCTTGGAGAAGGCTTAGAGCCATAGTTCCCAGTTTAACACAGATGTCTTAAGACTGCAGATGGACACCTGTGTCTAGGAAAGAGAAGGTTGCATCAGAAGCCCTTGCTTGTCTTGCTTCAATGCTTTCTTCTTGTGAAATTCATTCTCACACTTCACCTCGCTCCACTCTGAGGAGCAGAGCAGGTGAATGCAGGTCTGAGTACTCTCTTGTATAAACGAATATCCAAAAACTGGGTCCACCAAGGCTTCTCCATCTGTGTCAGGGCCTTCGCTGTCTGTCTTGAATGTGGATTTAGCCTCCTGAGGCGGTAAGGATTAGCATGTCAGGGTGTGAAATATCTCACTCCCTTGATAGCAATATCTGAGTAAATGTGAAAGGACTGTTCCACAAGGAGTTTAATTCAGATTAAGGTTTGGTGCAAGTTGAAAGCAGAATTATTATCTCTGATTAATTCCCTTTGTGAGTGTTTTCACTGCAGAATAAGTGCGCTTATCTGGAGCAAGAGTACCCGCATGGGGTTAATTAGGAGTAAGTTTCTAAGTAGAACAGCTTAGAAGTAACTTCTGAATACAGCCAGTGTGAAGTGAGGCTTGAGATATGTCCAAAAATATTCTGAAAGTAAATTATATCTCATTTTCAAGTCTTTACATCTCAGATGTGGCTTGTCACCTCAGATAAAGATCTTCTTTGCCTCCAAGGAAGGCATGCATGCCAGATTCTAAGGGAAAAGGTATTTGAAGAGATAGGTGTCCATCAGAATAAATTTGTCACTTTAATTATACGTGTAGGATCCTATCTTATTGCAGAGGATGTTACAAGGGTGACTTGATTAGTCAAGAAGTCTTAAAGTGGGGAAAGGTACTTACTATATTGAAGAGCATTGTGGTATAAAAGCCAGGAAAAGAAATAGTATTTGAGTGTCTAGGGTCTCCCATGGACAGTACAGGGTCATGTGATAAATTTACCCGAAGTAACTGGGGTAACAAGCAATGTCCAAGGAGGGTGGGTTATTTCTTCTCCTTTCCTTCTGACTGAAAAATGAAAATCTATCCAGACTCATTCTTGGAACAGAGAGATAGAAGAGGTGACATCTTCAATTTCTTTGCAGTCCTGTGCAGAAAAGGGATTTGTCCACACCAGAGTTTGAGAAGTTGCATTCAAGGGCAGAATAATCAACTCTTTTGCAGCCTGTCTGCCCGACTGCCGCAGAGGTGGTGTGTTCCACTGGTGTGCAAAATGCACTGGTACCACAGATGTCAAGAGGAGTCAGGCTTGTCTCTCAGCTTACCTCTTCAGGAAACTGTAACACACAAATGAAAAATGCCTTCTCCCAAAGGTTGTATGAATTGCCATATACTGACACTACGGTAGACACTAGAACAAGGGAAGAAAGGCAGGAGCATCTTTTTGAGGCAGTCAGCTAACAGTGAGGGAGATTCTGCTGAAACAGCATCTCTTCCTACGGAGGAATTAGGCATTGATTTAAGAAGAAATTGTCAAACTAGGTTTTAGCTTTCCTTTGTTCTTTCAGGCAAGACCAGACCCTGAAGCTGCAGAGAAAAAAGCTGTGTTACAGTGAGGTCTCTTCTTGAAAAGAGCTATGAGGACCGCTGGACCACTAGAACCCTTTGGTTTTGTTGTATAAGGGAGCTGCCAGCACAAAAATCCAGAAGCGTCCCATGAGGAAAGCACATACTGTGAAGGGACCATGGTCCTTGAAACTACAGGACACGTCAATTTGTGATAAGGGAGGGTGGCAGCTGCTTCTGCCAATATCACCTTTGCAGTATGTTTGAAAGCTTGAAGATGAGGTTGTGTGGTGGTCCACAAGACATTTTGAATTAAGACCAATAAGAGGATTTTGGAATGTGTGAAGAAATTGTCCCTTAGTTGGCTTTTTAAATTCGAGGGAATGAGGTTGCTGAGATTGAAACCTGCACTGCCTTTCGTGTTGTGGTGGTTGCAAGGTGCTAAGACTCTTCCTGTCTTTGAGAGGAAGGTTTGGAGGAGAGAGGCTATAGAGGAGGGCAGCATTAGCAGACATTTCTGGTTTAAGTACTGTTTCCATTAACTTTAAATCTTAAACTTTCTAAGCAGTGGTTCACCTTGACCTGAGGTGACCTTGGGTTAAAAGACTGGAAGTTTAAGTATGAAGAGAATGGAGGGAGCTGTTACAGAATGTCACTTCACAATAGTTCTGATTCCAAAACAAGATAGAAAGTGCTTATGAAATGGGAGTGCCTTGAGTGTTCTGGTAAAGGTGGGGGGTTATTTTACCACTTTATCAGCCTTTGAAAAAAGGGACCTGTGAAGTTAACCTTTTTTTTTAGGTCCATATGTCTATGGGAAGTGCTAAAAGCAGTCCTTTTCTGTGAGTAAAATACAGCAGAGGGATGATGTGATATGTTGTCGTGGTCCTGTCAAACCAGGACATATGTAGAGAGCTATTTGAAAAGTTGTGCTCCCACTAATAAAGATTAAGGTGGTATTTTTTTGTTTATTATTCTGTTAAAGAAAGATGCATTAGTTTTGAGTGGTTTATGTGATCAGCATATAGGTACATCTATTTCCATATACACTGTAAATATAATAGAAACCTTTCTAGGAGCAGCAGCTCAAGTAGCATCTGCTTGATCTTCCTAAAGAAGCAATATAGCGACTTTCTAAGCATGTCAGTAGATCCTTCCCTCATTGTCTGCATGAAGGTATAGAGTCGTCTTTTATTGTGCTTGTCAGATGTAGCAACTGTCTGTTTCTGTGCAGGAAACAACTCTGTGACACAGATTCCTGCGCTGTAGTCAGTATTTGTTCTCTAAGAGACTCTTAACACATTATGGTAGCAAGACTTCAAATGTGCAGGTACAGCTAATCAAAAGTAGCAAGCTTCAAGCTTTTATTTCTCAAGTGAGAGTCATTTATAGGCATCTCTGAAAATGTGTGCCTGCGTGATTCACCAGTGAAACCATAAGCTACAGGTTTAGGGAAAAACTACCTGGGTTTTCCCTGCAGGTTCTTATCTATCATGGGTGGCAAAGGGTTTGAAAACTGTGCTGGAAAATTATAATCACTAGGTTTTTGATTGCTCTGACATCTTTTCTCAGTGGGACCCTTTACATGTTCCAGGCTCCTGCAAATTTATAAAATGAGAACAGGTCTTTCTGAGTATTTTTTTTTTTACTTGCTTTGTAATACTTTTGTCTCATAAATTTTCTGTTATTTTCTGTAATTATTTAGTAACTCTCTTCTTGTTTTTTCTTCTGCACTGTTAGCTAGCATTCAGAACACACTGATCCTTTCCTGAAATAACGACAGCTTGATGGTCTATCTATTTACCCAATTTACCCAGTCGAGTCATCTGCACCATGTTAAAGCAGTAACTGTTGATGTACCAGTAACTTCCGATGTGCCATTCTTTGATGCCACCACAGCCTCAGTTGTCCCCTCCCTCCAGAGGGTACTGACCGTACAGTGGAGTTGTCACATGGGAAGATGTTTTGAGTACTGCTGTAGTAGTTCTTGTTAGGTTATGTGATGCAAAACTGGTCGGCACACACACAAAGGAGCAGAGGGGCAGGCAGGGGAACCCAAATTCTGGACTCAGAGGATCGCAAACCCTGTCCGGGCCCCTGCCAGGGCTGTCCTGGAGGGTCAGGTGTGATGCCCATCCTGGGGAGTCAACAGGAGTGGCTCTCCAGAGCTCTTTTTGGACTGAGGGGAGTCACTGCCTAAGGATATAGGACACGTGCAGGAGGAGAGCATTTCAGGGTTGCACAAGATTTATTATGGGATGTTTAGGTGAGGAAGAAAAGGCAGGGAAAGGAGTGGATCTAGGTGATTTGGGCAGGGACAAGTATGGGAAAATAAAGGGATATGGGTATAAAAAGGGCCATCAACATGTAAGCAGTGTCTGGCCAGTACGTTTGTGGCTATGCCCTGCACCTGATCAGCAGAGTCTGCCTTGTCTTGTTACTAAAGTCCATTTCTAACTATTTTCCTGTGTGAGGGACCCACTGTTCCGTGTGTACGTGTGTGAATGGGGGTCTGAGTGCAGCAACTGGAGTGGGACCGTGGGTCTGAGGCCGTGGGCGAGAGGTGGGTCTGAGTGTGTCTCTCTGAGGGTGAGACTGTTCTAGTTCCTCTGGGAGGAACTGTCTCCCAGAGGGACTAGAGGAGCCCTGGCCAGCTGCTGGAGAGACGAGGGTCTCTATGGGAGAGACTCGTGTGTGTGCATGTGTGTGTCTCTAAGGGTAAGACAGCGGGGGGAGCCAGCAAACTGCAAGAGAGTTGGGGGGAGATATGTGTGTGTGTGCACGTGTGCGAGGGGGTCTGTACCAGCAGCTGGAGCAGGGCTGCAGGCCTCGGGGACTTGTATACCCAGGTGCCAGCATCTGGGGAGGCCAAGATCCATGGGCAGCTACTGGGCAGACTGTCTAAGCCCAGCTGCTGGAGGGGTCCACGTTGTATATATGTACATATGTCCCAGTAATGGACCTTCGTCTCGATCAGCCACTGAGGGGTTCAGGGTGAGGCTGTAGGTGCTATTTGTGTTCATGTGAGTGCTGAGTGTGTCTGTGTTGCTATCTGTGCAGCTGGCGCTGTATGTGTATGTACCTATGTGTGTGTAGCATACCTGTTTGCGTGCCTACTGGGAATACATGATCAGCTTTGCTACTGTTTGACCTGGGGGCATGCAGTTGTGGCAGCCGTGCCTTTGTCAAGGTTTCTAGATTCAACACCCATAACATTTCTCAACCCACATGAAACATTGAAGAAGGTCAACTTGATCAAAGGAGCCTGTGTAGAGACAGCGAGCTGGGACACTGGGCACGTGTTCTCTTCTGCCACCTCCTCTGTGGAGCAGAAAACATCTGAGGGGTGCAGCTGGTAAAATTGTGCAGCCTGTTCAGTAAATCACATTCCTTTTCATAGAAATACTCCCTCGACTCATGTTCTTTCCCCCTTCCCACTGGCGTTTCTGTTGCTGTGACTCTTCAGTGATCAGTCCAGGAACCTTTTCGTTGGCTGCTGGACCGTTGCCAGCAGACTCCTGTACGGTGCTACAGTTTTTGGCTTTGCCAGAGCTTGTATCTGGCTCACGGGGTGACTTATGGCATACAGCCTTTGCAAAAGCAGTTGGTCAGTATCTATCGTGATATGTCCCGTACGTGTTGGACAGGCCTGAACGTGCCTTTTCTTTTTCCTTTTTCCTTTAAGCAAGTGCCAGACTTCTATCTGACTTACAGGACGTGACAGGGAAAGACTGAAAACTCTTCCAGAGCTATTTGTCCCCAGTAACATGTTTGTGAAGAATCAGGACAGTTTGTTTTGACCTCTGTTCAGTTAGGGACATCACGTGTTGCCATGGAAAGCTGCTGTGTAGCTATACGAAATCTCATGTAAATATTCCCAGTGTGTGGTTGCACCACTGAAGTTTGAGCCTACAGCCTTCAGCATGTTCTTGCCAGGTGGTACGGAAAGCGGTTTTGTTTGTGTTGCTCAGCAGGCTCCAGGCCTGCCTTCCCAGGAAGGAATACTGTTCCAGTCTTTGGGTAACTGCTGTCTGCTTGCTGCAATACGCCTTTTTTCTCTTCCATGTATTTGTATTGGTATGCTAGCATCTGTTCAGGTTGCTGTCCCTACAGGAACTAGAAAGGCTACTCAGGTGTGTGGGACAGGAGATGAGAACATGTGGGAGTGAGCAGTCAAGTAAGCTCAGCCAGGGGTGGAGTGAGTTTGAGGAGTAGAAAGCTGGACTAGAAAAAAGGGAGCAAGGAAGTCTGCACAAAGAAAAGTAAGATGTGAGAAGAGAGCATACAAAGGGATGGCTTTTGTAGATTATACAGGATAAAAATGCCATGGATCTGTTGTGATGGAAACTTCTCAAATGCTTACCAAAAAATGGGGTCTGTGCTTCAGCTGGTGTGCCAATGAATTCCACTGATGACAAATGACAGACATTTCTGATTTCAGAAGTGTATTCCTGTGAAGTAGGCAGGGTTCACGGAGTAGACGCTGTCTTTTTTTTCTGCCTTTTTCCCAAACTTTGTCAAAGAACGGCCTAGGATGCAAACAGGAATTTAGAAATTGCCGTAGCAGTTTGGGACTGAGCTGTACCCCAATGTCCCCTGCTCTAGAGTATTCAATGTCAAATGCTTCAGAGTAGGCTTTGGATCTTTTTATCTTTTGCCTATATATAAGATTTCTTCCAAACATCAACTGGTTAGCTGGACTGGATCTCTAGGCTTAGCTGTTGTTACATCCTTTAAAATTTCATGTCCTGCCTGTGAGAACTATCCTGCCTATCCTGAACCGTGACCACCTTGATTATCTGTAGACTTGGTTTGTTTTGTGGACATTTCTGTACTTAGCTGCATATTTACTGTCTCTGAATGTCAGCCCACATAGCTGGATGCACATAGACTGTGTTTTTCTTAGCTTTCTGCAGTTTGTTAGTTGGCTGTCCAACTAACATAACTGTGTATTCTTTTTTTCTTTTTAGTAGTACATTTGGTAAAGGTTTTGGTATGTGTTATCCTTCCAAGAGCCCTCAGCACTTCTTGTCCCTTCCCTTTTCAGATGGCAAGTTTGGTGCCTACATGCAGGTACACATCCAGAACGATGGTCCTGTAACAATAGAACTGGAGTCCCCGGCTGCCACTGTTGACCCTAAACAGGTAAGTGGGCCAGAAGGTCTGTCTGGAAAGGGTGGGTATATAGGCTGTGCCTTCTCTGCAAATTTGTAGCATTCCTGTTACGAACAGTGTACTTAGGCATGATGACCTTGTGCTTCCTGTGCAGCCTCTGAAAATTGAAATAATTGTATTGTTTTCTTCAGTTCCCTGGCCTGTTGACAGCTGCCTGATGTCCTGGTAAAGGTCGTGCATGTGTAATGCAAACCAGCTTTTTACAGTTTATTCTTGCTCATCATTAAAGCTGCTGTTCAATCATGACTCATTAGCTAGGTTTTTAATGGGTCTGGACCTGCCCCCCTCCCTTTTCTGAGTGAAGTTTCTTGACATATAGGGGCTTTTGCACATGGGTGGATGGATGGAACAATTAGCTGGAGAGCTGCCTCTTTCTCAGAAACAAGAGAACAGCAAATTTAAATCCTGAATTTAAGTTTGGAGTGGAGAGGAGACTTAGCTCTGCTGAGGAACAGCACAAGCTATGCTGAAAACCAAATGTAGTGATGAGGTTTTCTCAACCTCTAAACACAACAGTGACCAATTTTTCCAGGCTGAAAGAGAAGGGGGAGGGATTGTTATTACCAGCTATGCTTCAGCGAGGCCACACCAACCCTACTTGCATAACACTTCACTTAAACTGCCAAAACAATTTTAACAAGGTTATAGGAACGGCACGAGGGAAGAAACAGGAAACTACAAACCTGTTAATCTAACCTTAGTACCTTGAAAAGTTATGGAGAAGATTATACTGGGTGCTATTGAAAGGCATTTAAAGGACAATGCGGTTATCAGGCGCAGTCAGCATGGATTCACAAAGGGAAAGTCCCGTCTAACTGATTTGATATCTTTGCATGATAAGGTCACCCGGCTAGTGGATGAAGGGAAGGCGGAGGGTGTATTTTTTCTGGATTTTAGTAAGTCTTTTGATACTGTGCTTCACAGCATCCTTCTGGACAAGTTGTTCAACTGTGAGATGAGCAGGTACACAGTGCACTGGGTGGAGAACTGGCTGAAGGGCAGAGCCCAAAGGCTTGTAGTTAATGGGGCTACATCTGGCTGGCTGGCAACCGGTCGCCAGCGGTGATCCCCGGGGTTCAATTCTAGTGCCAATTCTCTTCAATATATTTATCAATGATCAGGATGCAGGAGTTCAATGCACCATTTGCAAGTTTGATGATGATACCAAACTGGGAGGTGCGGTTGATTCTCTTCAGGGACAAGAGGCCTTGCAGAGCGATCTGGATAGATTTGAGCACTGGGCAGTCATCAATGGCATGAAATTTAACAAGAATAAATGCCAGATTTTCACCTAGGATGGAGTAATACTGGGCATAAGTACGGATTGGGAGAGGCGTGGCTGGAGAGCAGGCCTGCAAAAAGGGATCTGCTTCAGTCTCACCTGCTGATTGCCTTCCTTTCCTACTTAAACCTCATTCTTCATCAGCAAAGATGAGGCTTCTCATACAGGATGTTCTTACAACATTGTCATTTATCCTAAGGTAAGGTTACACCAAATATCTTCTTACTGAGTCTATGCCTGGACCCTATGAAAAGAGTATGGACAGAGTACTTCTGTGCACTATCTGAGTGGGTTTTGGACAGTTGTTATGTTAGAATAAGAGTAACGTAAATTTGCTTACCTTCCTTCTGCAATGTGCTGTCCACACACATTTTGCTAGCCGCCCTCAGTTCCAGCTCACTGCAAATCCTGATGTGGGGGGTTCTTGTTTGTCACAGAAATGGATGAGCTCTTACAGTGGCACAGACACTGATAAAGCAGTCCAGCTGTGTGCACTTTGGATGCACAAAGAATTTAATCTATGCCACTTTTCAAAGAACACCATTTACTTGAAAATTGGCAGCTCTTTTAACTGTTACTGGGCATCTTTTCCAGCTCATATCAGGACTTTAACACGCACTGTTGGAGACATTGCTGTTTCTGACACTCTTAAGCATCCTTTCCTGGTACTATTTGACATATGTGCCATCATCCCTCACCCATCATTGGTGGGATGAGGAACCAATTTAAATTTGTCATTCTCTTCTCTCTTCCCTTCCCATTGCATTTTTTTTTTTTGCTGTGACACAGTCTGTTGATTTGCTTGTAGCATGAGAACTAAAGCTTAGAGATGGTGTGTTTTTTATCTTTTTGCTTTCTGCTTTAGCAAGAAGAGATAACTAAACTGTCCTGCAGTGTTTAATGTGATGTTAACAGAAAGAGATTAAACAAATAATTGCTGATTAATAGCTCTTTTATGTCATTGGATGTTACAGTGAAATACCTCTTTTTTTTTTTTTGCGTGGTTGTCTGTGGTTGTAATTGGTAATCTGATCTTTGTAATTCCTTAGCAATGTAATTAGTAAAGATACATTTGGATTAGTTAATCCAAATGTATTTCTATATTCCTTTTGCTAGAGAGGTATAAATAAATCTATATATTGTATATTCTGATATACTTCAGAAGTCTTAGTGAGAATGCTCTTTGTCCGCAAGACCGTGTTGGAAAATGGCCAGTATAGGCATGTTTGAAATGCTAATGTGACATGCTATCGTATATTGAGCCATTTCTGTATTTATACGTAAATTATATATGAACAAATATACATTATGGCTGTGGATTCTGTGTTGCATAACACAGTGTGAATGTACTACTGTTTTTGATGTTTTGAAAATCCAGGGTTAGCCTTATTGGGTTAGTGCACAGCCTTCTCAAAGGTAAAGGTAACTCGATTTAAACTATCGGTGTCATGTGTCTTAGGCTTTGTCGTCTTTCAAGTAATAGGAAACACTACTTAGAGAAGAGGGGATATCATTTGTGTAATCACATTACTTACAGAAACAATGAAGTTTCATGGAGTTATAAGTTACAGAACTATGAGGTAACAGAAATTTTTTTTGGCATCATTATTGTTGAAAAAGGATCACTGCTCGGAGCCTCAATGCTGCAGTAAAAGAAGGGGGTACAGACTGCAACAAGCTGGTTATAGGTTTGTTGCAGCAGGTTTGACTGTGGCTTGTTGGCAGAAGAATAGTGCGCGTATTATCAGACGTGAGGTAAAATTTTGCCTGGATCACACCCAACACGTTTGTTACATAGATGCATGTGACTTGAGGACTGGATCACGCTAGACAAACAAATCATTGCACTCTGTCATTTCACATAGTAAAAGCAAACTAATTTTAGTTGTGAAATAACTAGTGTTAAACTAGACCAGTCTAGTCTAACTGTGTCATACTAGAAGTCCATGTGTGCAGGTGTACAGGGAGGGTGTATATGTGGGATAAAGTACAAGGGGATGCTGTGCATCCTCGCAAGGCTCTGCAGTCTGCACTCTTAGCTCTTACCGACGTAGAGCTCAAATGTACGTCTTTGTATGCATCTTTTGTAAGCCCGTCTAATTCATGATTGACACACATATTCTATCTTATTTGTTTCTACGAAGATTTCACCTCAGAAGAGATCTTCTGGCCAGGAAATGATGATTTATGACCAGTATGCTTTATCTTGGGGGGATTGTTGTGGAAACATTGAGAAAATCAGTAGATTACAGAAATAAACCAACCTTATAAACTACAGAAAGTGTAGTGATTTAAGTAGCTGTCAACTTGTAGTGTCCCCAGAACTTAGTGCTACCTGCTTCTCTGAAAAATGGGAAAGAGATGTAAAGGTTACAGCTATGTGCAACTTAGTTTGACTCTTTTAGCAGCATTGAAAGCATTTCTACTGAGAGGTGGCAAGGCAGTGTTAGTTGAGGGTTTTGTCCAGGCTGATCTGAAATGGTTATTCTGTGTGATGCTAAGGTTTATGCATCTCTTTCTCTGAATAAAGAATAAAATGTATTCTTGTGTGCTGTTTGGTCGAAATTGGGATACATCTGTTATCAGCAACTTTGAAACTACAAAACTGCCTCTTGAGACCCAAAACAGAAGAGGAGTTTGGTGGAATCCAGCTCCCTCTTTTGGTCCTTGTGTTGTATTATTTTCCATGTCGGCTGATTGTGTTGGGTGGAGGAGTGCAGTCCTTTGAATGTGCGCGCTTCTCTTTTATACTCTTAGAGGTGATTGTGTTAGCAGATGATAATTCAGCATCTTCTCCAAATAACTGAAAATCTAAACCTTGAGTTTTTTTTTTTCTTTTCTGTTTTATTGACGTATGTATTGGTGTTGTGAATATGAATTGCAAGTTTTTGACAAATGCTCACATTTATGATTTTTTTAGAAATAGTCTTCTGAAATGATTTTTTTCCATTAAGTGTTCTCTCATTCTCCTTACTTTGTGAATAGCTGACAAAACTTGAAAAACAGCAACAAAGAAAAGAGAAGACCAGAACCAAGGTTCCGTCTGAGTCAAGTAGAGAAAGAAATGCCCCCCGTAACAAGGATGACCCCAGCGCAAGCAGTGGAGCAGAAGGAGATGTGTCTTCAGAAAGAGAGCCTTAGCTCATCTGAAGCAGGCCTCAGGTTTGGCTTTTCCACTCCTCTGTAAAGCTGTGTCCTCCTGCTTGGCAGTCTCTAACCCTGGTTGCTTTTCTGAAGCAGCACATCCAGAGGGTTGCATTAGAAGTGCTAAAAAGTGAAGTGCTGATAATCTTGCTGGTGGGTAACCTCTGCTTCTATCTGTAGTTGGCACATCAGAATGCAGAAGTAGGTGAAAACCTCTTCCCAGCTGTGTGCTTGACTGGAGGTGTGTATCTGTGAGTCTGGCCCAGCCATGACTGTTTCCAGGTTAACTCAGGAAATCTAAAATTTTGGTCTTACAACTCAGCAGTGACTTAACTCAGAATCCTGCTTTGTATTTTTCAGAGCGAGGATGACTTGATAACAGTCTATTTCTTATACCGCTACTGTCTAATGAGAACATTAGACCAGGCACTGAGAGCCAAACTTGCTGCTTGAATTAAATGAGAGAACTGGGATTTCCTCTCCCTTCAGGCACTTGACCTGCAGGACATGCCTGGACCTGAGTGAATTGGATTAGGCTGTGTGAATATAGACCTGAATCCTTTTTCATTATTATCTACATATGTACATATGTATTTATCATCCTCTTCCAGTCAGCTTTAAGTCTTCAGGATACAGCTTTCGTTGCCTCCTTCCCCCCACCCCCCGAAAAGCTACGTTGCTGATTTTGAACTTTCAAACATGTCCAGGCTCACAAGAAAGTATTATTTCCTTCGTCTACACACTGAAGCCCTGAGCTGGCTATGAATTTTAATTATTAACAGCTTTGTAAAGTTAAGGTCTAACTTTTTTCTCATTTTCCCATCCCTACGAGTTCAGTCTGGCTTGTGATTTATACAATTCAATATCATGCATTGCTCCATTGCTCAGAAAGTTGCCTTTTTTTTTTTTTTTTTTTAAAAAAAAATCCAGTAATTTCCCTGGTGGTCAGGCACTGGGGGATGATTTCTGTTTTATAGAAGTTTGTATTATCTATGTGATACTAACATAAATGAATTTGCATAAGGCGTTTAATAGATTTCTGGAAAGATGCTAATTAGTTTTGGATTGATCTGGAAAGGGGATCAAAGAAACTCTCAAGTCCACTGTTGGCCTTGCTGCTATGCTAGAGGAATACAAGGTTTCCTCCACTGTTTCTGGGTTCTGTGTTGAACTAAGAACGTTGTAGAGAGCCAGTGTTTGCAGGCCTTCTGGAGTGCTTTGGCCACTCTGACCTTTCCAATAGCATTTGAAATTCTAGGGAGCTGAACTTCACTAAAATGTGATATACTGATAACCTAGCATTAATTTTCACACCGTGACAATAAGATGGTTTTCTGTATGGGATTTGAAGGCATCATACTCTATTTCTACTCTACCTGTTGTAATGTTCCTGTTTGTTTGCCTTCCACAGTTTCTTGTACCGGATTCTTGAAGAGAGACCCAACAGACATTCACCTCAGCACCACTCTTCAATGACTTTGGAAAAGGATGGAAAATGGGAAAACAGATTTAAGACATTAGAAACCTAAATCATTATGTATTGAAACAACCAAAGCAATGCTATCAGAAATCAGTTGTTGATGTGTAGTATCAGTAGTAAAAAGGACTTGTAACATTTTTGTGTATGTGTTTTCACATGACTGCTGAGTAAAGGGTGACTGTAGGCAGATTGTAGCAGAGTGTTCACTCTCAGTACATAAGCTCCATTTCAAAAATGAATCAGGGTTTTTCCTTAAAGTTACACTTGAATTCTGAAAATTATCCAAGCAGGCTTGTATTTTGATTCTCACTCTATGGTGTCATGTGCTACCTGTTTCCATGGCAGCGTGTAGATCTGTGTATATTTTGGTATATTGTTTGCTGCTACGTAACACCAAGTTAGGCAGTCCAGTCTTTCTGCATGGATTAAGTTGTTAAAAGGAAAGATCAGCCGCTTGTCGTTTATCTTGTGGAACACATCTGTCTTGTAAACTTTTTTAAAAACAGAAAAGACTTTATTAAACAAATGATGCGAGCTGAGTGCCTGTTGGTGTTTGTGTATTGCGTTCCCTAAGGTACGTTTAACAATGTGCGTGACACAGAGCAAAAGTTACAGTCCAAGAAACATCTAGTAATGTAACTCATCCACCTCTCCTTTGGAAGTCACCTTGCTGTCCTGAAATCTTAGCTCTTGTCAACACATCGAAGTCCTCTGTGTGCTTTATGGTGGCTATCAAAATGCCACAGCAGCTGACTGCATCATGCACCTGCTGACAGTTCTGTCAGATTCATCAGAGGCAGAACAGCATTTGGAAGCTGCCGGCAAACAACAAGAGCTGAGAAACAACTGGAAAACTGCTCTCCTGTGGGTGTTAAAGCCAAGGAAGTTTCAGGGGAAATGCAAGACTGCAAATTGTTCCAGCTTTGACTTCTTTCAGAGGTGGTCGTGGTACCTTTTATACAGGGTATTCTCTAGGCCTGCCTTGGCCTTGTGGTTTTCACTAGCCATCTGCCATGGCCACCATCCGAGCCAGGGTGCTTATTGAACGACTGTCTGTACCTGATTATAGGGCTAACTCGCTGATGATCGTTGTTCGTAATCCACATGCCTGTCATATTTACAATACTGCAGACCGTGCAACCACTGTGGTTTTTCTTTTTAAACTTTTCTCTTGTAGCTTTTGGCTTTCAACTGCTTGTTTAGTAAAGTATCGGTCAAACCAAGACAGGAGAGTTTTGGGACTGCACCCTGACATGGCTTTTTAAAATACATGAAGCAAGCCACACACGGAGCATTTATCAAGAATGGCGAGTAGCCAGGATAGGTTGAAATGTTACACTTAGTCTTGCCTTTAAGAATTTACATCATTTTTCAGGCGAGTAGCCAGGATAGGTTGAAATGTCTATTTCTTAGTCTTGCCCTTAAGAATTTACGTCATTTTTCTTCTGGCCATTACATGTAATTGAGCTTGCCTGAAGTCACAGCCTTGTCCCAAACAGTGTTTTTTCACCTCCAGGTACACGTGTTGTGTCTTGTCCCTTCAGAGTCTCCCTCACCTGGGATCACAGCCCGGTAGGCGGTTGTCAGATTAGCGTTTAGCTGGCTGCAAAGGGCAAATTCAGTCAGGAAGACAGCAAGTGCTTACCTCTTGGGTGTTGATATGGTTGTTGACCAACCAATCCTGAGACCTCTCTCATCTAGCTTAAGTGTCCTGTTTGCTTCAGTATATTTGAAATCCGGTCTTCTGCTTTGCAACTTGCTCTTAAGACGACAACGGTGTGACGGAAGTCTCGCAGTCTGCATCCTAAAAGGTAAGCTGGTAGAAGCCAAACTAAATAAGAATAATAAAGTTTGAAAAGAAAAAGTATTATAAATACATCTCGGGGGAGGCAAGAGGTGGTATTCTAGCTACGTTTAAGTAGAAATAAAGGGCACAGAAGTGGTGGCTGTTGGTCAAAAATGGAGTGACCTGGCTTGGCTCCCTGCTCAGTCACACTTTCTCTGAGTGACTGGACTACGTGGTCTTTCTGAGTCTCTCCAACCAATAGCATTTTCCTGCCTCATGTGGGAGACATGAGGGTAAGCTCCCCACAAGCTGGGACACGGTCATGGCCTGCGGTGATGGAGGCCTGGGAACTGGAAACACCCAGGAACGCTGTATGTTTTGGACAGATGCTTCCTGTTGTCCTGTGCCTAGCATATTTTCATTCACCACGATTAGTTTCAGGGTTCAAGAAAAATCCAAGTAGCCAATCCCACTTTGTTAAACAAAGTGCTGTTTACTTTAACAAAAGTTATTGCTCTTTCTCCTGGCAGCAAAACTTGGGAAAGGCCACTTTTCCAAGTGCATTAAATGGCTTAGAAACTCGGTGACTGTCCCATAGCTTTTCCCACTTAGAGCAAGCTGCAAGCGAAAACCAGCAGACTTCAATTCCTCTATCTGTTCCTCTGACTAGTATTTCTCGGGCTTGGTTGGTTTCTAGTGCCTTGGTGAGCTTTTGTTGTCTGTGAAACAGATGAAGTTTTTGGTTAGGAGAAATGTTTGTTTTTTTTCCTAACTGCCGAAAATGACCTTATTTAACAAAAAGGCGTGTTTGTTTCATATGTTTATAAAATGTTAAGGGACAATAGGAATGAATGATAAGTTGCTGGTCGTTATTCCCTGTCCTGGTTTCGGCAGGGATGGGGTTATTCGCCCCAGGAGCCGGCAGGGGGCAGGTATTCCATCCCAGGTGAGCCTGGCCCGGGCTATAAGAGGCGCTAGCCGGGGCGAGGAGAGCAGTCGCCACTTGGGGGTGGGCTGTGGTGGCTCGGGGCCGGTCGGTGCACATCGCGGCGGTTCGGTAATCGCGTTTTCATCTTTTCCTTTTGCTGTTCTGTTAAGTTGCATTATTTTAACCCACGAGTTTTGCCCTGACGATTCCTTTTTCCACGGCTGTGGGAGTTGTGCGAGCGGCTGGGTGGGTCGTTGTTGCGGGCTGAGGCCAAACCACGACATTCCCTTTTCTACAGATTTAGACTTACAGGCTTTTCTCCATTTTCCTGTCCCAGCTCACAGAGCAGTTTTGCCAGAGTTCACTTCTTCGTGATTTATGGGCTAGAGTCAGAAGATGACCATCTAATGTTTGCAAAAATCAATGTCCTGTGGCCATTTGTCTTTGTGATAATGCTTCAAGGAGCCTGGTCAAATCTTTCAGATTTCCTTTCTGCTTTCTCCTGTGTTGGTGCTGGTGTTTCTTTGCCTTGCGCTCTCTCGTGAACTCAGGCAAGAATCATCCTCTTCAATGAAATTCTTGGGGAACCTCTGAGTGCCATGAAAATAATAAAGATGATAAGTGAGCGTCAGTATTACAGTCCTCAAGCAAAGAAACCGCATTAGTCTATCATGTCATTGTGGCTTCAGTTGTTCACAATTCAGTATATTTTTTACAGTCTCTATACACCTATGGTGTGGTCAACAATCGATTCTGCCTTTCCAACAAAAGCGCATAAAATTACAGAAAATATTCTTTGTAGGATTTCTGCAAGCACCTGGTAGCGTTTGTATGTGAGCGAGGTCTGCAAGAAAGTCATGTTGTGTTTTCCCATTTGAAATTCCCAGCAGGTATCTGGGAGACAGTCTGAATCTGAATGCAGATATTTTCCGTAACTGTTTGAAGTACCAGCCGACAGGGGAGTGTCCACAAACCATTCTGTATCGAAACTCACTTAGACACTCCACTGCAGCTCCTATTTTTCTTCCAACCTTATTTTCTCAACAGAAAACTCCCCAAGGAGATCTTCCTGGTAAGGAGAAATTATGCTAGGACTCCTTTGAAAATTTACTGCTAATTTTCATTGACAGCTATAACCAAAAGAGACAATTGTTGTAACAGTAAAAAAACTGTTTTGTAGGTGTTTTGCAAACATCGCCATTCAGATACTGAATCTGTGGACTATGATGCTTTGAAAAGTAGGATGTTTAGGAATGGAACAGTCAGAGTAAGTGACGCCCCTACAAAGCTATTTGGAAAAATGATTGGATAATTTTAATTTGGTGTGTAAATACTAATCAATTAAAGGCGAAATAACTTGTGATTGTTGATGTAAATGCTCAATGGATAAGCTCACAGTTTCCAATTTTAGAAGCTAGTACAGACAATGAACTATAAGAGATCTGATTTATGGAGATGCTGGTTCCTGGAGAATCCTTGTTTGAACATGTTGGCAGTAGCTCCCTCTCTGCTCCAATCTGGTGGCCACGTGACGATGGGTTTCAGTCTCTTACTGCACTTTGCTAAAATACACCTTCCTATGGTTCTTCCACAGGACCAGGGGAGTTCCAGTCCATTGCAAACCACGCTTCAATGGTATCCCAAAAATGAAGTCTAGCGTGGCTGGATAGTGGTGCAGGGAAAACTCTCAGGTGCATTTAGGGACTTGCAGTTACAGCAGATCTGCAATCCTTTCGGTGATCACAGTGCTGTCGATTAAGCAGAGAGAGATGGAGTTTGCAGAAGAGGAAGGAGGGCAGAAAGACCTCATCGTGGTGTGGTACTGAAAAATAGAGGGCTCTAAGAAAGAGGGAAACCTGCTCTGCCGGCAGCCCAGCTGTTCCCATTTGCCATCCAGCACCCTTGCTCTGAGCTTCCATCTTGCAGCACTTGCCCAGCAATGGGGAGTCGGACCTCCCAGAGTAGGTTTTCAGCTGGTGTGAGGTGCCTGCTCTTCCCTGGCTGCTGGTCCATATCGAGCATTTCCGCGCTGTCCTTAGAAATGCCCATTTTCAGTTGATTTTGTGCTCGTGTGGTTAGAAATGCTTAGCCGTCGATACAGCTGCGTGTAACTATGGGCCCTGCAAGCAACAAAGGTTTGCTGGCAATTAAAAAAAGAGCTTCCTAAACTTTTTGCATGTATCTGGTTGTTAGTGAAAGTGAGATGGCAGACCCCTGGCAGGAAACAGAGCAGAGGGTGTGAATATATACAAACTAGTTGTCTGAAATAAGGCGTGAAATCCTAAGGCTGGTCACTTTTCCATATTCTGGAGTACCCGCTCATTTCCATGCCAACCTCGATTTTACCACACGCAACACTATTCGCGGTGCCGTAAGAGGCAGACACCCTATCTAGCACCCAATCCACGGGTTGCTAGGCTAAATAAGCTGCATCCTAATCCTTCCTATGAAAACCGGCCTCCTGTTCTCTTGTTCACCCTGGCATAAATAGCTCCAAGCTGAGGTCTTTTAAAGGGCTGAGGAATCAGGCTGAAGCTTGAGGGGTTGATGACAATGTCCCTGTCCCTGAGAATGGATCATGGAAATGCTGAGCGGCGTTCCTACACCCAGCACGGAAGGGTTGATGGAGCAGGTATAAACCCAGCCAAACCCCCCTGTTTTCCTTCTAATGACATTGTGCAAGTTATTGGCACGGGATGTTTTAGGAAGCCGCAGATGTAAATGGGACTGAGATAGAGCAGCATAGCCTTGGTGGATAAGAGCTACCAGGGGCTGGAGAGAATCCGTGGCTTAGCAGGGTCTGAGCATCTCTGCTTGCACTGGCT